TTCACTTCGTGAAGTTTCTTTTGAAGGTGTTCGTTTGACTAAGGACATGGTAGATTGCATCAAAGATAAATTGGATAAAGTCGAAACAATCCACTTCCATTCAAATAACTATTCGGCGTTTCTGTCACACGAAGATCTCCTTACTTTTCTTCCAAATTTGAAAACCTTACACAATAAACGCGCTTGCTCAATTCAAGATAAATGGTTGCATAATCATTACCCAAAACTTGAACGATTGATGTTGAATAACCCGGAGGAAATATTGACCGATACCGTTGGAATTTTTTTCGATAAGAATCCACAGCTTCAAAGTTTTCAAACCGACCATCGTTTTCTTTTGAAAAATAGCGACACATTCCTCAAATCCAACATGAAATTGGATGTTTTGAGTATTCGTTATGAGTTAGACGATGGCTTGAATGGTGTTTGCAGCTTGCTAAGCAAACTGTATGACAATGGTTTTTATAAGCGATTGGAATTCGATTCTGGTGCTTCGAAAATTCCGCAAGATGGAATCAATAGAATCGGTCGATTGGGTGGACTTGAAAAATGGTCGGGTTGTTTTGAAGGAATCACGGTTATCCCTGCTGTCGCCAATTTAAAAAAGCTACGCATTTGTGATGCAAGTTTAACGAAAATTGATTTGGATGCCATGATCGACTCATTTCCAAATCTACACCAAGTGCGTTTATATGAAGCATCAAATAATAAACTGCTTCCGTTCATTCGACGACTACCCAAACTGAGTGAACTCAGTGTTCGTCATTTCTTTGCCGAAAATGGTCATGAAATCGATCTGCCAACTTTGAATGGAGCACGCAAACAATTGAGTAAACCATCCAAGCTGACCATTTATGTGGAGGAAAACGTTTATTTGGGAACAAAAATGGCAACGAAAAATTTATACGTCGATCACAATTTGATTGAGGTGAAACGTGTTGGCAATATACAAGAAGACTTCTTTGCAGATCGTTAATTTGACATGTAGATGACATTTTTCCCATTGAGGTATCCAAAACGATAGGCCAGTCGATGAATATATTAACCTTCAGCAAAGAATACAACGTATGTAGACAAATTACACACATTCACAATGGCTTTGTTGAACAATGCTAATAACAACAGGAAATTTCATTCTTATTTGCAGTCCTTTAAATTCACAATCCAAGCAGTATGCATTGATAACAAGCAATTTTGATCCAGAGCAACAGAGGGCTCCACGAAATGAATTATTCCAAATTTATATATTTTATAAAACATTTCGGAAAAAAGTCGAAACAAAATATGGAAATAAAATATTCAGTGTAGACACAACACGTTACACTTAAAAAAAGATTGTCGTATTTGTTTTTAATTGTTAGCTACGGACCGATGCAGATAAGATGAATAAAATGAAATTACGGAAATAGTGTTTACGGAATGGATTTTTTCGGATAAATAATTTCAGGAATCAGCGAAATTATCCATAAAATATTTTATTTCGAAAAAAAAAGTCGAAATTACATACGGAAACAAACTATTTTATATATAATTTCGCTATAAAAAGAAGTTATTTATACGAAATAATCCATTAAATATTTTATTTCTTTTTTTTTACGAAACAATTTATTCTTTATACAAATATTTTGAGAATAAATTATTTCGGAATAATTTATTTCGTGGAGCCGCAACAGAGAGATTTTCATGAAGTCATTGTAACGACTGAATGAAAAGAAAACACCATATAACTCAAAGTAAATCCAACAACAAGGAGATAATACACACAAATAAACAGACGATCATTTGCAGTATTTTCATGAAATTATTATTTTCTAGGATTCCTATTTTTAATGGGGCCACCTAAAATCAAATTAAATTCTAAATTCATTTTTAAATTTTAATGTCAATTTATTTTATAAACTTTTGTTAACATCTTTGGAATGCATAAATATTTGTTATCGATATTGAAGATAAGTAAATGAATAAATGAGTAAAACGAGCAACAATATCATTTGCGTATGTGTTTTCATTACCATAATTCGTTGCGTGGAATTTTTTCTCTGAGATTGCACACATTATTTCGTTATCAGTCTTATATTTACAATTAATGTCACTTAAAATAGTTATTAATAGTAACTCATTTTTTTTGAATAGGGTATTTTTTGGTTTTGTTAGTGAATTGGATCAAATTATTTTCTTATCGCTTTTTGGTTAGATTTTTTCTTCCACAAATCGTCATCCAAAATTGATTACTAGCAGTTGTTCTGAACTAACGATTTCTTCACTTCGGCCACGATTTTGTCAAGTTCGTCTACGTTTTTGAAGGCAAGCGATTTGCCATCGATCGTACACATGGCTTGGCAAGTGTAAGAGTCAAACCAGCACGACTTGATATAGCCTTGTCTGTATGCCTTTCGTCCTTCGGCAAGCAGTCTTCCAAAGTATGGTGTAAGATGCTCGTTGATTGAAATCGGTGTCTTTGCTTCATCCCCATCGCACTTCATAATGTCACCAACCTTGATTGCTTTTTTGGCGATGGGTACTTGCATTTTCGTTTCGTGATCACGCAACTTGACGAGAATGATTTTGCTGTTACCTTTGATGCGATAGTAGTTGTAAATGCTTCTTTCGGCAACATTAACTCCGATCGCTTGGAACACCGCGCGAATCAATTGTAGCACATTCTCCTTTTCCGCTGGTTGAATGCCATGCAGCGTAAGGTTGTTTTTCAACAATTTCTGACGGTTCACTTCGATTTTGTATTCTGCTTCCGGTGTTTTGCTCTCAATTTGTTGCGAATTCTTGACCTGTTGCTTTTGTGATGTCGATGAAGTTGCTTGCGAGGATGCCAACAAAACTGTTGATGCCACAATATACGATCTGTTGCTTAAGTTCAGTCCTTCCATTTTGTGTGCCAAAGTTTTCTTCTTTTTTTTCGGAACGGTTTTGGTGTTGTTCCGTGCAGAAGACGATAATGCCTCGAAGATGTTGCTCGTTTCTACACCGAAATTCCCATTTTGAACATTGTCTTTCACCATTTTCAATAGTTCCACGGAATTATGTCGATTGTGAACGAAACCAGTTGATAATCTACACTATTCCACTTAATTTACGACGGAAGTGAACTACAACTTTTCACAGCTCTTCAAATTGTGACGGCAGCAGCAGCAGCTCGAAAATTGCGTATTTATGTAGAATAAAATAGAAATATTTGTGAAAAAAATATTCGTATTTTATTTGGAGTAAAGACGAACTTGTGTCTTTACTATTTGTGAGTCCAGTTGGAACTGATTCAACCGTGTACCATATCTTGCTTTTATAGTTTTCAGAGAGCCGAAGAGAAATGCCAAAGCCGAAACCAAAGTTCGCCGAATTAATGCATTATCTTGCACATATGTAGGCATTCGAAACAGCTGAGCGAAGCGTCGTCCGCATAGTCGCAACGCAGCGCAAGTGCGGAAAGATAACTGAGTTCATTCATCATATTACGGGGAATAGTGAATGCTGAGTTATACTACAAGCGTATTTCACAACGTTGCGCTCTCGCTTTACGTCACCAGTTTCATTTTACAATATTGCGCTTGCATTTTACGTCACTTGATATGAACTCAAGATCAATGACTGTTGTTGTTGTCGTCCGGCTATTTCCGGTAGCGTAAAATCAAATGATTTCATACTACACCTGTATTCGTTATTCATTTTTTGCTTTAAACACCGTTATAATACCGTTTATGGTAGATCTATAATACAGATTCTGTACTCACTTTATGCACCGCACAGAATTAGGTAATATGTTGGTTTTTAAAATTTTCTAAAGCTGTAATTTAAAATCGGCCCAAAATGCATCGAAATTGGTCTTGGCATTGGTAAAACGAATTCAATTGTGACCGCAGAGCATATAGTTTAACAAAACATATTCGAATATACGTCAAGTTTCTTCAAAGTAATCGAAAACATAACAGCTTCAATACAATTTTGAAATCGAACGAACCAACAATGAACTGCGTTCTGTGCATACACACAGCTACATGCAAACATATAAACAAGAGAGATGGGTCAAAAATCTGTGCGAATCAATATAACACGCACTTGATATGCTATGTGCTCGGTGATTTTGTTCTTATTCTTGCCTATTTATTTGGACTTGAGCACTATTTCACAACCAAAAATATGACGAATTATTTATGAAAAGTGGTTGGTGCCAAACCGTCAGTTATTCCGAAAATATTTCCGAAGAAAAAATATTCAGATTAAATGGACTTCTTTTTGCCGAAAAAAAAAAACAATTCTTGGCAAGAGCATTTCGTTGTAAAAATCCATAGCAGAATCTCTCTTTCACAATGCAGTAACCAATTTGAACTGTTTGTTGCCGACACTCATTTCCCTTATCAGCTATTTTCGTAGCCGCACAACAACATCGAACATACAGTGTTCGCGTGAAGAAGACTTGAAGCAATATTATTATTTGTTGTTTCACATTTCAAAAAATGGTGAAATTCGTTTAATGCTGCTGCTAGCTATGGGCGTCATAGCATATGGCTTTTCCTCACAAATTGTTATTGTTTCACAGTGAGTCATTCACATATGCGAATAGTATAAATTCTATGCGGTGAAACCGAGTGCTTCAGTGTTCATCGAGACGTTTTGCGAATCGTACACTCGAACCGGCAGTAGTTGAAGTGTTGTCATTGTGTTTGTTGCATCGTAGCTCATCAGTTTATTCTATCGTTTGCATTTCACTACCGTGTATAGCGACGCTTTGATTTCCATTTGAAAAATTCAAGCAAAATCAAATTCAAATTACTGAACACTGTAAACACAAAGAGCGTTACAATATTTCACCACCGCTAACGTCTTTCTACAAGGACGACATCGTTATCCCACCGACAAAGAATATAGTGATTGAACGACGTGCAGTGAATTAAGAACCCCAGTGGCAATGGCAACCAATCATACTTTGACAAATGACAATGATAACGGATTTGGTAGTGTATCAAGCTTATCGATAAGTTCTCTGGACAGCAGCGTATCCAGTAGCAGCAACGATGTGTTCAAAGATGAGAATGTGAATGCGAACTCGTTGATCGATGTCTATATTAGCACCGACGAAAAACTCTCCTTCTTACGTTTGATCAATAGTAACTTTATGTCGAAATCGTTTAAAATTGCAACGAAAATCGTCAACAAAATCTTATGGGTGCGGATCATTACTGACGACCAAAAACTGCGAACGCGAATGATTCAATGGCTGAAACAGAGGAGCTACATTAAGCCAGACGAAAAGAAACCAGATCTTGGGAACATTCACATACTGTTGAAAAATGCGTATCATATTGAAAGCTCGGACGTGCTTCGTGCAAATCTAGCCAAAATAAATATTGTGCCGATGGATATTGTATGGCACATAACCGGCTATATGCGTGAAAACAATATCAAACCGGTATGGTGGCGGTTGACATTCGAGCCTGGCACGAACTTGGATAATGTATTGAAAACAAAGAAGATCGAAGGCGCAACAGTTAGATTCGATTATATGAAGAAAAAATGTGAACGGTGCAATGAAATGCATGCACCCGGTCAGTGTAAAAAGAGCGGAAAAGCGAATCAATGAAGCAACACAATTTCCGAAGAATTTTCTAGATCGTCACGCATATCGTAATTTATCATAGCAATGCAAATATTTCAACGAGCCAAAAATAAAAATAATTTCGTATATATTTAGATGAAACAAAACAACTCAGGCTTACTTATGTTAAGTGCAACGAACCTTGATTAAATAATAACGATTTTTATTTCAAAGATTGTTGTTTCTAATTTATTTAAATGTTTCAAATAAATGGACGAAATTATGGGATCATGTACACATGCTTTGTTTTATTTAACTTCGAATTTTTTGAGCATAATACTGCATAAGACAGATATCTCCCTAATATGGTGTGGCATTTGCTTGCGTACGACTCACAT